GACTTTAAAGTATGTCCACATTTTCAAGGCATCACAGTACATCTAACCTCAGAAAAATACTGATTTCAGTGAGCATAATGAGAACGACAGTTCTGTTCAAAAACTGTGTTTACTCATATTTACTCATATTTACTCATATTTTAATGATTAAATATACATCAACTGCACTTCTATTAGAGATGCTTTCCTACTACAGCAAATACAGTATTGAGAAAATATTTTTGTTTTTGAATACGTCAGTTAAATATGCTAATATACAGTCTGAGTATTTTTATTTTAACACATGCAACTCAGTATTACTTTCACTGTTTCATGCATTGCATCATGGGAAACAGATGAGGTTTGCATTGAACAAAAACTGCAACTTTGCATATGTTATCTAGGTTGTTTTTTATCAGCTAAAACACAATACACAGAATGGCAGAAACAAATAACTTGTATTATGACTCGCTTTCCAGCAAAAATGGAATACAGTTTAAAGTTTTGCATCACCTTTTCACAAAATTGATGAATAAGTATGATGGCTAATGGGAAATCATTTGCAATTAGTCAAAAATAAACAAATAAAAATAGATACAAGTAAAATTAAAATAACGCCTGTCCACTTGTTCTAGACTGGCAAATTTTAGCTGAGACAAGTATATGTAGACCTGACCAGATGAGATAGGTCCCAGTTGCTAATGTACAGAAAATAGTCTGTAGAGTTCATAAGACCTACATTGTATAAAAAAAATGTTGAAAATAATGTCATAATTTATCTTGCAAGGGACAGCTAAATGTATATTATCACAGGCACTTTCATCCACCAACCTCTCTAATACAGGCAACTTAAATATTTAATTTCAACCTTATTATGTCGGTAAACAACTTTGGTTTTCATGCACTTAATTGACAAATATGACTGGAAATTATAATGCAGTATTACCAACATGTACAATATACTGTAATTTGACTTATCTATCTACCAATCACTGTCATGTATACTGAAGTGTTACTACGCCAATTATTCCTTTTTTTGTAATTTTACCAGACCTGATTATATATCTGTACTTTTTTTTATTTCATGATTATGTGCTTAATCTATACTTGTTAGGCAGCCTGTGCTAAAAACCAAAAAAAAAAAATTGTTTTGTTGCCCTCAGCAACCGACCGAAAAATATGAAATATCGGGTCGCATTTTTTTTTTTTCATATACCTCGGCTATTTATGATACCCTTAGTTTTCACAAGTTTAAACTAAACTAAATTTTCCGACTTGAGGGCAACATAAGTTGTTTTTTTTTGGCCTAATTGTATTTCTCATCTATTGCATGTATCTCCATTGTAAGGCCATGTATGCATTTTTCGATCACCTCCACATTAGAGATGTATTGATTCGTTTTTATATTGTAGAACCTGTGTCAACCTATTTTGGCTGAACACCTAAAAACCATTTAGGTAATGCAAAAATTGTCCGATTCACAGAGGTGCCACTATGTTAGTAATCAATGAAATAACGCATGTTTTTATTTTTAGTTTAGCTTTCTTGATGCATAATAGTAGCATTCATTCTGTAAGAGAACCAGTAATCAACTAGTGTTTCATTTTTTGATCAAATTATATTGCTTTTTTTTTTCATTCATCATAATTCTCAATTTCATTTTTCTTTAACCTCTCACGGTAATCATCATCTCATTCTTTGCATTCCATTCACGTTTTATGTTATTCAGCCGACTAATTAGCACTAACAAGATAAAAAACCAACATATATGTAGCCTGCCCTTCCTATTTGGGCATCTGCCAAATGCATTTCTATTGATGTCAAATAGTATGAGGTATCTCAAGGAAACTGCAGAATAAAACTTACTATTTATACATCTGTCACTGTAACGCAGTATTTTGCGGGGTATTTTCATTCTAACATGTTAGGAAATGAGAATTCCAAAAATTAAATGATTACGTGCGTAAGCGTCCTCTAATAATAAAAACAAACTTGGCTGCCTCCAGAATTTGACCGGACTCCACACAAAGACATTCGCTGATTCTTTTCTAAACTTTTTTGATTTCAGCTTTCCCATGATGTATCCTTGGAGGGAAAAGATGTATGATAATAAGGTTATTACGAGAATACCTCAAAGTATGCACTCAGACAGTACTCTGCGCATCGACCTCCACTGCGCATTTGACGATACTTCAGCTGTACTGTCTTTGTGCATATTATTTATACAGCCTTTTCGATCAAACTGCTTGTTGTATGAAGCCCAGCACTGAGCAAGATAGTTTTGAATATTTTCAAACTTGCCGGCTATCTTGAAAATATCACACAAACTTTCTTTTAAATTTCTTAAAGAGATAGAACGCAGATACCCCATACAGTATCAAAAATTATCACCATTGTAACTTGCGCTAATATAGTGACAGATGTATGATAAAAATGTTGCTCTATTAGAAACACATGCCATTGTATAAATGTCCTAATTGTTTGCATTGTGAGGTTGTTGAGTGTTAAAATTATAAATTGTTCAGTTACTTTTAATAGAGCAAAGACGGTGCCTAATCTAGCATCACAAGTTGTATTATTGTTTACAATGAAAAAGCCAACATTCATTCAAGTATTTCAAAGACTGTTGCATTCTGGGATTCGTTCATGTTATACATGTATCATGTTATCACTGTCTCAAAGAAAAGACTATATAGCATGTAATGGCAATCTTTCCAGTTTCAGGTCTAAGCTCAAAAGTTAGACAGAGCTCAACTTTGTTTCAAGCACTTGACATAAAATTAAAAACACTAAATCAAAACTTAGGTTGTCATTAAACTCTTTTTATATCAGGTCATCTGTGTATTTGCATAACAATGCATTTATTTTGTATCTTTAGAGTGTTACTGGTGTCTCACAGGAAAGTACCGTATGCAATATTTTCTGTTCTGCCATACAGCAAACAAAGTCAGCATGGAATTTTCAAGTGAGTTGTTGAGTTTTGAGAACGGTTCTTATGGATGGGATATTAGAAACTCTGGACGATGGCAAAGCAAAATCAACCAAATATATTTGAAACTAGGAATAAACAAAAAAAATAAGCTTGTTTAATTAAACTGAAATAACCAATATGGAGTTTTCACTAGTGCTAATGGTTGATCACTGGTCATATAAACACAGGTGGTCTTTATTTTCAGGTCACTATACATGTATTGCATTAGGACTGCTTATACATGTAGTAACCTCTATGGGCAGATTCTCTTTATACAGTATAGTGGGTGGTCACTGTAAATACTGACTTGGTTGTCAAATTAATGACAGTAGTAGCAGCATGGCAATACATCATATTTAATTATTTTACTTATTTCAATATATATCTATAAGTTAGTATTGTGAATATTGCAATTTTATGCCCACATTATTTTTACTTTCATGTCTGAATAAAATCTTAATATTTTACAGATCGGAAGCTTTCCACCATGTTGAAGCAAATACTTCTTTTAGAACTCGTAGACCATCTGGTCTGAAACCATTGAGTTTGTCTCATGAAGACTTCCTGGCATGTGCTGGAAAGGAAATCCAAGATGGCCTTGGTAAAGTAAGTCATTAGCTACTAGCTATCCCAATTGTCACATGCCTACATCTATGTTGTACTGGTATTTATGGAATCTGAGTCAATTTGTTTGTAAACGAGTATTCTTTCTTATCCAGCTCTTCAGTTTGTCATATACACATTCTGTAGTGCAAATTAGGGATACCGTAAGTCACAGTAATTTCCATTATAGTAATTGGGGGGAGTGGGGTACATTAAAATGATCTACTCTCTCCATTATCAATGTTAACATTGTTAGCCACGTTCGGACGCAGTCCAAAAACAGGGACTTATGTTTTGACTTCAGTTCGTCCGTGCTTTCGGACCTGTATCTTAGAAATGCCTGGACCAATCACAATCAAACTTCACACATACATCATACATGATATTATACATATGCACATCAATTTGTTTCACGATCTGATTCAAGATGGCCAAAAGGCGGCCATTTTTGTGCTAAGAAATCATCAAAATCAAGCAATTCTCTGCTGTTTACAGATGGATCTTGTTCAAACTTGGTATATAGATTATATGACCTTGATGCACATCATTTTGTTTTTCAGATAAGATTCAAAATGGCTGACTTGTGGCCATTTTGTTTTAATAAATGGGCTTTTAGAGCCATATCTTTGACATGCTTTGACTGATTATGTTCAAATTTTATATATTCATTATTCATCATGTTATAGATATATACATGTATTAAAAATGGCTGATTTTGTTTTAATTAATGCTGTTCCAGAGTAATATCTCTCAATGTGGACAAGTACTCGTTTGACGATCAGATACAAACGTCAATCATTTTAATGTTAAACAATCATCATAATCGTATTCCTGACATGGTTATATTCCAGCTATATTACTATAAACAAAACTATATATCTTAAATTCAATAACTAACTGGGACTATGCCATGCATGGCTTGTTTTATGTCGTTTCAACCTTCCATACCTTCACTGTGTATATTAAAAAAAAAATTAAATTAAATATTAAAACTGATCATTTCACTGGTAGTAGAATTTGTAAAGTTCCAATACTGGAATTAATTTTCACTGAAAACACATTTAGATGTTTCATATGGAATTTATTTTCACTCATTTTGGATGAGTTGAATGTGAAATAATTAAAAGTATTTTACAGTAACCCAACACGAGGCTGATTATGCTCTCAATGACCAAGATAATGTATATGTAGATTATTGTTGAACATAAAGTTGCAGAATATCTGGTAGAATAGTGGTTGTTGCAGTTCATACCCCCCGGGAGTGCCGAGACTCAATGCTGACATACTCATAACATTTTCTAATGAACTGTATGTATGTCTTAACAAAATGTCAGAAGAAACAACAGGGAGATTCAATGGTGGGAACTGGCACAGATTTCACAGCTTTAAATTAAATAATATTAAATATTATTGTTATTTTGTAGGCAATATCATACAGTCATTTTTTGGTACCAACACTGAGCAAGGTAGTTGCATTGCGCCAAAGATTAAACCAAGAATCAGGATACAATTCATGTCCTCAATCTCCAAACTCACCGGTTGTTAAAAAACAAAACCCTTTTAATCGATGTATATCATATGATCCTAAACTAGTTGGGGCGACAGCGCTGGTCAATGAAAGGGGTAAGTAATTTCATCTGTTGATGGTATCTGTTCATCCAAATCAATTTTCGATGTTTTTTTTCAAAAATGTTTTCAAGGTTTATAGCAAATTTGTAATTATGTCCATTTGTCACAAAATTTTTGGATAGAAAAATACATAAACATGTGCAAAATGTTCGCACTGAAATGTTATGGCGCTCAAAGGTGTTGGCCATTTCCCATGATGCAAAGTTCAAATCAAGGATGGAAATGTTTACTGCTGCTCAAACATTTCCCATGATGCAATGCATGAAATAAGTTAAAATGGTTCACAGTTGTATGCGTTCATATTTAAGATAATTGAGATTTTGTGTACGATGATTAGCTCTTTTCTCTCTGAGTATACCAATAGTATTTCAGGCATAGCGCACCTCCACACATGAGTCAAACAATTTGATTTTGGTGGGATTTCAAATAATCAAATTACACCAATCAATCTAGTGATGTCATTGACAGAAGCCGCATCCCTAGTAGAAGTCGCACCCATTCTTTTTGAATAATTGAGAACCAAAAATTCATCATTTCTCATATGTGTGTAGGTGCTTAATAGAAGCCACATCCCCTATGTTACATTGTACTATTTTAATAGAAGCCACTGCTTCTAATACAGATTTTACAGTACTACTCTCTGTGTTGTACCTAGTATGTGATGTTGGTTGCATTGTGATGAAATACAAAAATGACTGTTTACTACTTTTTTTCATTGCAGAAAATGAAGCTTTACTGAATGATGCAATATTTTACTATGATCCATATCAATTAGATGATCCTGAATTGTGTTCAGGGAAACATAAAAAACTGCTTACATTCAGTTCATATCGGGTAAGTACATACATCCTCAAAAAAACACTATTAAGCCTTATGACTAATTTGCTAATGAAAAAGTTGTTAATTACTTCATCTGCCAAAATGCAAATGCAAATAATTTTTGCTTGCAAGAAGTTTCTGAATCAGAACTAATATCAAAGATTTGTCACAGTGAAAATGGCATGAAGTCTTACTGAAATTTCACCACAGCGAACCCCCCATACGATGTTTTATTGTCAACATCACATGACTGTAAAATTACTTGTCCAAAATGTATGTCTGATCAGTTTATATTTACTTTCAGGTTTCTGTTATTGACTATGCGAAACCCTCAGAACTGAAAAAAGAATTAAATGACAGATTTCGGGAAAAGTTTCCGCACATGCAGCTGACACTCAGTAAGTTGCGAAGGTAAGCCATTAAATGCGTTGACATCAGAAGAAAATATTGACAAAAATTGAGCAAAACTAGCATGGAATAAGCTTCTTTCATTCTGTATTACTCATGGGTTTTTTGTATACTTGTTTTTCCTATTATGTTGTAGTATCAAGAGAGAATTAAAAAAGATAGCTATGGTACAAAGCCATCTAGATGCAGGTACACTGGCACAGGCGTATGTATACTTTGAAAAATTAGTACTCCAAGGAAAGATCAATAAAGAAAACAGAAAGATATGCGCTGGTAAGTTAGACTTGCCTTTTACTAGGTATGGCCACTAGCCACTAACCCAAGTCCAATTTACAAGACGTTGACTAAAACTGAAAAATCAGCAATCGACATGTTAATTTACATATTAAATACAATATATTTTACGTATTATTATTTGCTCATTTTGAATGCAATGCATAACACTTGACATTAACATGACCTTTATAATACATTTTTTTTCAAAAAAACCTCCCTCAGATATCCAATAGCTCAGTCTTTACAGGCCCAGCCTGCTGTGGTTGATGTTGTGTGTTCAAACCCCTTCCTTGGCCAACTTTTACAATAATTAAAGAACTCTATCTCCTCGTCAACTCAAGATGTTGCATCTTGATTAAAGCTGCTAAGTCCTAGATAAGGCTGATTTACAATAGTGGTTTACAAAATATTGCCACAGTTATGTAGCTCAGACAATGTCAGTTTACTAAATATGCCCCAGTTATCTGTAGCAATTACAGTGTCCAACATCACGGTTTTAGTCAAGACTGACTAGTTTTGTAATTACCATGCCACAACAGTGTGAACAGCACCAGACTGATGCGCTGCATCCTTCATTGTTTATCAGTATCCAAGTTCACACTCAAAACACAGGATCGCACAAAAGCTTGGGCGGGCAAAGAGCAAGTATTGGGAATACTGATTCATTTAGCCATGTTATGATGACATTTTCAATCAGCCAGTCAAATTAGCCATGTGTTGATGGCATTTCAATCAGCCAATCAAATTAGCCATACATTGATGGCATTTTCAATCAGCCAATCAAATTAGCCATACATTGATGACGTTTTCAATCAGCCAATCAAATTAGCCATGTGTTGATGGCATTTCAATCAGCCAATCAAATTAGCCATACATTGATGGCATTTTCAATCAGCCAATCAAATTAGCCATACATTGATGGCATTTTCAATCAGCCAATCAAATTAGCCATGTGTTGTCATTTTCAATCAGCCAATCAAATTAGCCATGTGTTGATGACATTTTCAATCAGCCAATCAAATTAGCCATGTGTTGACATTTTCAAACAGCCAATCAAATTAGCCATGTATTGATGGCATTTTCAATCAACCAATTGAATTTGCCATACATTGTTGGCATTTTCAATCAGCCAATCAAATTAGCCATGTGTTGATGGCATTTTCAATCAACCAATCGAATTTGCCATACATTGTTGGCATTTTCAATCAGCCAATCAAATTAGCCATGTGTTGATGGCATTTTCAATCAACCAATCGAACTTGCCATACATTGTTGGCATTTTCAATCAGCCAATCAAATTAGCCATGTGTTGATTGCATTTTCAATCAACCAATCGAATTTGCCATACATTGTTGGTTGTTGGCATTTTCAATCAGCCAATCAAATTAGCCATGTGTTGATGGCATTTTCAATCAACCAATCGAATTTGCCATACATTGTTGGCATTTTCAATCAGCCAATCATATTTGCCATACATTGATGGTATTTTCAATCAGCTAATTAAATTACGCACATTTTTAATTAGCCAATCAAACAGCTGCCCATGATTCATTCACTTGCCATCAATGCTTGGCATAGTTTTGAGGTCTCAGACCTTGGAATAAGTATGAATTGCAGGTTTAGTTAGACCTCAGAATCTTTTACTAAGATCTGCTAGATCCTGTTTGCTAATTTATCGAGTTATGTCATGTGCCCTTCTATTGCTAACAGCAAGTCTAGTGTCAATGGTGATGTTTGTAACATGTCAGTACTCTCTGCTTCATGTTGTATATGATAATGATATTACCAAGTATATTGACAATATTAATTCTGATGATTTCTTCTCTTCAGGTGCCTGTTTGCTGTTAGCAGCTAAGTTATCAGACACTAAAGGTGTGGAGTTACAGCATCTCATCAAGGTACAACAAATACCTGTTCTTAGGATGGACCACTTTTGACTCCCATGTGCGAAGCACAAAATGGGAGTCTTTGCGGTTAGTGTGTCTGTATATGTGTGTGTGTGTATGTGTGTCCGTCTGTTCCACTGATATCTCAAGAACCATACATCAGTTTTTGATGAAACATGGTGCATAGATGCTCTGGGGTAATGTGCAGATTTGATTAGGTTTTGGTAAAATTTCATGCATATTAATTACCTAATTTGCATGATAATAAGCTAATTTTTAGCTGTTCCATTGATATCTAAAGAACCACTTATTGGATTTTGATGAAACTTGGTACATGGATGCTCTGAACTAATGCTTGGTTTTGATTAGTTTTTGGTAAAAATTACCGAATGACTAATTACCTAATTTGCATAATGATTAGTCAATTTTCGATTTTTCCACTGATATCTCAAGTACTAATCATCACATTTCAATGAAACTTGGTACATAGATGTGATATGACACTGCACAGACCTGATAGTTTTTAAGGTAATGTCAGTGCATATTAATTACCTAATTTGCATAATTAATTAATTTTCAGCTTTTGATGTTTCAAGTAGTAAGCATTACATTTCAATGAAACTTGGTACATAGATACTCAAGGACTATGCAGAGATTGATTGTTTTGGGATAAATATGTGTGCATATTAATTACCTAATTTGCATAATTAGTTAATTTTCAGCTTTTCCACAGATATCTCAAGTACTAATTATCACATTGCAATGAAACTTGGTACATAGACCCCTTAGGACTATCAAGAGACCTGATTAGTTTTAGGGTAAATAATTGTGTATATTAATTACCTAATTTGCATAATTAATTAATTTTCACACTGATTTCTCAAGTACTGATCATCACATTTCAATGAAACTTTGTACATGGAT